GGAAGCCAAAAGTTTTTTTGTCTTTTTTTCTTTTTCATTTCTTTTTCATTTAATTTATTTTTCATTTCATTTTCTTTCTTTTCTTTTTCTTTTCTTTTCCTTTTTTCTTCTTCTCTCTTCTAACTATATCTTTCACTATTTTAATTGTTATGTAAATATTCAATAAAGATTTTTTTAAAAAGCTAGGACAGGGTCACTATAAATCACATTTTTTTTTTTTCTCTTTCTCTTTTTCCCTCTCTCTCCTTCTTTATATTTTTGTTTTTATTTTTTTTCTTTTTTATCGCATTTTTGTTTTATTTTTCTTTTTTTCTTTTTTTCCTTTTTTAATTGCATTCTTTAAGCTTTCCTTTTTTCTCATGATGTGGCCAAGTACTTCATCTTGGCCTCTATTATCCTTCCCTCCAATGAGCAGTCGGGCTTTATTTCCTGAAGTATGGACTGGTTGGCTCTTCTGGTGGTCCAAGGCACTCTCAGAACTCAGTTATCAAAACATATTTGATAACTATAGTTCACATGCAAATAAATATTATTTTCAGATTTAGTTGGCTTTTACAGAACATGTGTGTCCCCACAACTCAAAATATGAGATTTTCTGGAATCTCCTGCAGTCTATATTAGAGGCAAACTTTCTGGCCTTCAAATAAGAGAAGTCCCCTTGCAGAAAGGAACACTTAGGGTGCATCTGTATTGTAAAGTTCATGCAGTTTGACACCACTTTAACTGCCACAATTCAATGCTATTGAATCATGGGAACTGTATGTTTACAAGGTCCTCGGACTTTCCTGCCAATGAGTTCTGGCGTTCCACCAAACTACAGCTCCCAGAATTCCACAACATTGAGCCATAGCAGTTAAAGTGGTGCCAAACTGAATTAATTCTACAGTGTAGACACATCTCTAGCAACCTTAATGGCTTAAGCACACATATGGCTATCTAAAAGTACATTTTATCAAGTTAGCAAATCCTAGTTTTTAAATGAGGAGCATTCCTCTGGAAACGTACACAAAAAATTCCATATGAAAGGACCTTGCCTTCTCAGCTCAAAAATGTGACAACCATGACAGCCTGAAATCAGAGTTCAAACGGTATCAGCCTCTTCCTAAACCATTCTGATTACCTATCAAGTCACCATGGTATTCTTTAACTTTTGTTTTGGAAAAGTTGTTTGTGAACTATTGAGGTTTACAAGCTGACGATTCAATCATCTAAAAAGCAAGCCGAATCTTCCTTCAAGGATCATGTGATTTCCCACCAAGAATGGGCTGAACACAGAAGTTAGTGAAGAAGTACTAGTACCAATTTTCTATATATATATATATTTGCAGCCTAAAATCCTAATTTAGACAGATGTTCATGAAATAAATAGCTTCTTGACTGCTTTAAGCTAAAGGTAAAGGTTTCCCCTTGACATTAAGCCTATTTGTGTCCGACTCGGGGAAGTGCTCATCTCCATTTCTAAGCTGAAGAAACTGCGTTGTCCGTAGACACCTCCAAGTTCATGTGGCCAGCATGACTGCAGTACCCATTGATCTACTCACATTTGCATATTTTTGATCTAGATTGACAGTAGTTGGGACTAACAGTGGAAGCTCACCCCACTCCCCAGATTCGAACCATCAACATTTCGGTCAGCAAGTTCAGCAGCTCAGCAGTTTAACCCACTGTACTGGGGGCTCCTAACTGCTTTAAACATGACTACAAACACCTTTTTTTGCATGATATTTCAGACAGCAAGGAAACTTCATACTTTGACTGATCTTACTGTACTTGGACAAGAAGCAAAAGAGAACTATAGAAGATGAAACTAAAGACAATAGAAACAACAACACTATATAACAAAATGTTCTGTACCTGGTTTGAAAGTGTTATTTCCTGTTTAATTGTGTGGCACTTAATTTGGCAATAGTTGTTACACTCCAGAAACTTGGTTTTTGTGGCTGCCACAAACTATGTTGAATTGGCTAGGAACACAGTGAGATACTAATTAAAAATATAGCAAAATGTGCTGCAGGATGTGCCACAAAAACAAAGTTTTGGTAGTTTAATAAACTTTTTCCTTGTTTTGATGATAGACTCAAATAACATTTAAAACCCAGGAACAAAAATTGTGTAACGTAGTGTGAACTACCAGGTATAATACTCATAGATGGGGGCAATGTGCAGGAATAATTAAGCAGTTCACTGGTCTGATAATTACAGTAGGATACACTATAATAATTGGATAAAATATGAAAACAATAGGAACATATATTGTCGAAGGCTTTCATGGCCAGAATAACCGGGTTGTTGTAGGTTTTTTGGGCTGTATGGCCATGTTCTAGAAGCATTCCCTCCTGACGTTTCACCTCACAACCTCTGAGGATGCCTGTCATAGATGCAGGTGAAACATCAGGAGAGAATGCTATTAGAACATGGCCATACAGCCCAAAAAACCTACAACAATTCAATAGGAACATATTATGTATAACACTCTATATCTAGAAATCATGAAAACTCCACTAGATGCATGTTACTAAAATCCTATTAATGGAATAGGAAAGTTAATAACTTCCAAGCTAAATCCCATTGCACTGTTCTGGTTCAAGCATGGCTACTTGATACCGGTTAAACATATGTAAAAGTGCATCTGATTGCTTTATATTCTAAAACAATGATAAGATTGGTGTCCATCTAGAAGAAGATAGTTCCCACCAAATTTAAAGAATTTTCAAGAACTTTTGTGATTGAAGAGCAAGTAGTAAGTACCATTCATTGATTTTATTAAGAGAGAGGAAAATGTAGTCCAAAAAGGTATCTTTTTTTATGGAAGTCAAACCGAGCTAAGATTTTGATAATGATGATGATTAATACGAGATTCTCCACTTAGATTCCTGACTCCCAGGTTGAGAAATGCTGGTCTAGATCCAGAGAAGTCATGCTATCCCTCTATTCTGCCTTGGGGAATCACACTGTGTCCAATTCTGGGCACTGCAGCTGAAGGGAGATGTAGACAAGCTGGAATGTGTCCAGAGGACAGCGACCAAAATTATCATGGGTCTGCAGAATAAGCCCTATGAGGAACGGCTTAAAGAGCTAGGTCTGTTCAGCCTGCAGAAGAGAAGACTGCGAGGATACATGATGATGGCCATATATATAAATATGTGAAGGGAAGTCATAGGGAGGAGGAGCAGGCTTGTCTGCTGCTGCCCTTGGATGCAAAACAATGGCTTCAAACTACAGGAAAGGAGATTCCATCTGAATATGAGGAAGAACTGTGGGAGCTGTTCAGCAGTGGAACTCTCTGCCCCGTAGTGTGGTGGAGCCTCCTTCTTTGGAGTCTTTTAAGCAAAGGCTGGATAGCCATTTGTCAGGAGTGCTTTTAAGGCGATTTTCCTGCTTCTTGGCAGGGGGTTGGACTGGATGGCCCATGAGGTCTCTTCCAACTCTAGGATTCTATGATTCTAATACTCAAGTCTCGATTAGATCTATGTTTGCATTTACACGTATAATAATAAAATAATAAAACTTTATTTATATACCGCTCTATCTCCCCGAGGGGGACTCAGGGTGGTTTCCAAGTAACATCACTGAAACATACAAAGTTTGTTTTTGTTTTTTTGGTCGTGTCAGGAGCGACTTGAGAAACTGCAAGTTGCTTCTGGTATGAGATAATTGGCTGTCTGCAAGAACATTGTCCCAGGGAACGCTCAGATGTTTGATATTTTATCATCCTTGTGGAGGCTTCTCTCAGGCCCCACATGGGGAGCTGGAGCTGACAGAAGGAGCTCAACCTGCTTTCTCTGGATTTGAATCACTACCGGCTGTTAGGAATTGTGGGAGTTGGAGTCCAAAACACCTGGAGGGCCAGAGTTTGCCCATGCCTGGTGTTGATGAATCATTGTAAAACTATAACTCCCAGGATCCCATAACATTAAGCCATGCCAGTTAAAGTGGCATCAATCTGCATTCACTATACATAGAATGATTCAGCCTTTGGGACACTAAAATATCCCCCAATCCTGTTTTTTAGTAACTTTTCAAAGTTTCCAAAAAAGTAACTTTTCCAAGTTTCTAAAAAAGTAACTTTTCCAAACAATTCCTGAGTATATAGCTGTGATTCAGCGGTGAGAAGGCCTCGTTGTGAAAGAGGCCATTTCCGCCTTGATTGCTGACATTTAGGATTTGGGTTTTTTTTCTCCCCCCTCCCTCCCTCCCCCTCCCCTTCCAGATGGGTTTGTTTTCGTCTCCGGCGTCCTTGGCCCAAGCAGCCCCGTGGCTGGCTCCCAATCAACAAAACAGGCTCCCCCCGCATCACGGGATCGCCACTCGGCAACTTTGGCAGGATTAACCACTCGGCCCCGCCCCACGGCGCGTTCTAGCCAATCAGAACGCGCGCCGGCGGGAAGGAGGCGGGGCAACCAACTTGGGCCTGGAGAGGTTTAAGAGCGAAGCCCCCCGTCTGAAAACAGCCGCAAGAAGGAAGTCAGCGGAACGAAGGCTGGGGAAGGAAGCGCCGCGTTTCCCTCCTACCCACCAGGTGCGTTCTAAAGGCAGCGTCTCGTCTTGGAAGCTAAGCAGGGCCACCCCGGGTGAGTCTTTGGATGGGAGGCCGACGGCAGTGCTTGCATTATAGGCTCCATTTCGGAGCCTATAATGCCTAGGGGGAAAAATCATGGTGAAAATAGACTTCTTCTTCCCTCCTAAGATATTGTTATTTTTAAAGGTCATGGCTGCCTCTGTAAGGGTTAAGGATTAGGCCCCCGTCTCACTTTGGAAGCTAAGCAGGGTCTGCGCTGGTGATTCCGTGGATGGGAGGCCGACAAGGAATTGTAGGCTGTATTTCAGAAGAAGGAACTGATTTATTAGAAAAAAGAGATTGGTGGTTGTTTCCTCTCCTGGGCCGGCTTTCCCTTCCTTGCGGTCTGGGGTTTCCCCTCTTGTTTCCCCTTGAAGGAGGCCTTGGATCCTCGCCCAGACAAGGAAGGAATGGCTAGCCTCCTTCCCTCTCTCCCTCCCTCCCTCCATCAACAGCCAGGAGGGCTTGTGGCTTGTTGACATTCAGGAGCCTGGAGAGAGTGTTTGTTTGTGTGTGTGTGTTTTCCTTCTCCCCCTTTCCCACCTCCTCCTCCTCCTCCTTTTTCACCCGTGTGTCATGTGAATCGGGACTCACGTGTCTATGGGCTGGAGGTGGGTCACGTGCCTCCCCCCTTCCTTTCCTTGGAATGGTTCCCCAGACCTCTCCGCCCCATGTTTTGTATGGAAGCAGGAGGGAGGGAGGGAGGAAGGGATTCCTGGAAAATGGCTGATGAGTCAGGGAGGAGGAGGAGGAGGAGGATGATGAGCATCATCCTCATCCGGGAGGCTGTGAAAGGGGTTGGGAAGGCAAAGTTGAACATGGATGTTTTCCTCTTTCTCGCTTTCTCATCTTTCTCTTTCTCTCCTTCCTTCCTTCCTTTCTTCTCTCTTCCTTTTTTCTTCCCACCTCTCGCCTTTTCCTCTTCCTCTTTCCTTTTTTTCTTTCCCTCTTTCGTTTCTCTCTTCCACCTCTCCTCTCTTTTAACCTTCCCTTTATCATTCTCTCCTTCTTTCCCATCTTCCCCCTTTCTCTCCTCTTCCTCTCTTTTCTTTTCTTTCTTTCCCTCTTCTCATCTTTCCTCTTTTTCCTTCTTCTTTCCTTCCCACCTCTCCTCTCTCATATCCTTCCTTCTTTTTCAATCTCTCCTTCATTCTCATCTTCCCCTTTCCTTCCTTCCTTCCTTCCTTCCTTCCTTCCTTCCTCTATCCTCTTCCTCTTTTCTTTCTTTTCCTCTTCTCATTTTCCCTCTTTTTCCCTTCCTCTCTCCTTCTCTACCCACTTCCCCCACCCTTTCTCCTTATATTTTCTTCCCACCATTCTCTTCTTCCCTCTTAGCTTCTTCAACTCCCATTCCCTTCTTTCCCCCTCTTTTTCCTTTACCTCTTTCTCTTTTTCTTCCTCTCTCTTGCCTTCCTTTCTTTGCCCTTTTCTCTTTTCCTTTCTTTCTTCCACCTCTCTTTTTCCTTCTTCTCTTACCTTCCCCTCTTTCTCCTCTGTATTCTTCTCACCTCTTTCTCCTTCTCTTCTTCCTCTCTCTCTCTCTCTCTCTTTCCTTCCTTTCTCTTTATCTTTCTCTCATTCCTTCCCTTCTTCCCCATCTCTTGCCCTCTCCTTCCTTTCCGTCCTCTCTTTTCTTCCCTTCTTCCTCCCTCTCTCTCCTTCATTTCTTTATCTTTCCCTCTTTCCTTCCCATCTTTCTCCTCTCTTTTTCTTCCTCTCTTATTCCTTCCCACCTCTCCTCCCCTCTCTCTTGCCCTTCCCTTCTTTATCTTTCTCCCCTCTTTTCGTCCTACCCATCTCTTCTTCCCCTCTTCTTCTATCTTGATTTCTTTATCTTTCCTTCCCTTTCTCTCTTTCCTTCCTTCCTATATCTTTCCCTCTGTCTTTCCCTTCTTCCTCCTTCTCTTTTTTCTTTCTCCCTTCCTCTCTTCTATCACCCTTCTCACAACTTTAGGGTGAAGCAGATTCCCCCTCCCCCTTTTTTTCAGCTGAGTTGTGTAAATAAACATGGTCATAGTTATTTGCAAAACAAGAGTTTAGGTTTCCAGAGGTGGATTTACACCAGGCGAGGGAAAACTTTGGCCCTCCCTGCTGTTAGGAATTGTGGGAGTTGAAGTCCAAAACACCTGCAGGGAGGGCCATAGTTTGCCCATTCTTGAAGTATTTCAATATGCTGAAATTTTGCCAGAAAGCATAGATAACCTGTGGAAGTTATACATTACTTTTTTCAAATAACCAGATTTAGCCTTTTGGAAAAATATTAATAGAACAGGCAAACAAGTGCCTCAGAATGACACGTCAGAGCTTTTAATGCTTCCCTGCACAAATGGCCAATTGCTCTAATCCTTCCTCTAGTTTTTAATCATAACTTTGGTGACATGTTCAGAAAGGGGGTGAAGATATCTGAAAGGATTCTTTAGCTGCCAAAATGACCTCACATTCTTACTCTTAAAGCATAAGAAGCAGAAGAATTCCATCTTTACCTTGAGAAATTTTCAAATTAGCATATCAAATATAGTATTTGCCCCATACCCACTTTTCATGTGTATCTGTGCATTCCTTTTTTATGGTTGCAAGGGCCCTTCCAGACAGATTTTCTGCATTAAACAGGATTATATGAGCCTCCACTGCCAGATAATCTGGGATAAACAGAAAACCTGGGATCAGATCCTGGGGCCGCTTCAATGCAGTTGTATAAAATCCACATTGGACTGGATTATATGGCAGTGTGGACTCATAATCCAGTTCAAAGCAGATATTGTGGATTATCTGCCTTAATATTCTGGGTTGTATGGCTGTGTGGAAGGACTCCGGAATATAGGGCCTTTCTGGAAGGGACCCCAGTCTATACATGCTGAGGGTGCATCTACACTGGGGAATTAATGCAGTTTGACACCACTTGAACCGCCATGGCTCCATGCTATGGAATTGTATGATTCCAGAGCCTTGAACCTTGGCAGTTCAAATTGTGTCACTGCATTAATTCTCTAGTGTCGATGCACCCGAGGAGTTATGATGACATTTTAGGGGGAAAAAACATAAGGGACGAACTGTACTTTTCCTTGTAGCAAATGGTCTTCGTTGCTCCACTTGTAGCCTTTCGGCAGCAGTAATGTATTCCCCTCATCCTGGAAAGTTACTTATTTCTGTACTGTAACTTTATCCATGTCACATTGGAAGCAAAGGAAATCTAAACCAACCAGATTTTCTCCTCCCAGCAGATTTCACAATGAAGGTCTATCTATGCACATTGGCCCTCTTTTTGGAGGCATGCTTTGCTGCTCCCAGCCTAGACTCTGCCCTGGATGATCACTGGCTGGCATGGAAGACGTGGCATAGCAAGAAGTACCACCAGGTAATGACCATCACATGCGCTTGGCTGTCAAAATGCAATTTGAAATTAAGTGGTTATGAATATCTTATGAATGACACATTACAACTGTGGTAGCACAGTGGTTAAAACTGCTAGCTGCAGGAAAAGCTGCTGACCACAGTTTGAAGCCACGAGTCTGGGTGAATCCCTGAATGTCACCCCTAGCTTCTGCCTATCTAGCAGTTTGAAAGCATGCAATGCTAGTAGATCAATAGGTACTGCTTCGGTGGGAAGGTAAAAGGGCGCCCCATGCAGACATACCGGCAAAAAGATCAGAGATGTCTTCCTCAGCATGGAAAATGGAACAAGAGCACCTCCCAATGGCTGGAGTTGAGCATTGCCTCCAGACACTGGAGATGAAAAAGGGGGAGACTTTTGCTTTATCTGTGTATTGTATGTCATTGTTCGTTGTGTGCCTTATATGTGTACTGTAATCCGCTCCAAGTCCCTCCTGAGAGATCAGTAATGATCCCATAGCACTTTGTCCTCCAAAGCAGTTTACATTTTCTAAGTCTGCTGGTATGCCCTTTCACAAACACCAGTATCATCTTCCGTTCATTTTCCCAGCATATTTCCAATTTTAACTTTACATTTGGCCTCCCCTCTGCTTTTAATTGTGTGTTGTTTTATTGATAATGTTGTTTCTCTTATTGTCTATGTTTTTTAATTGCTTGTATTGTTGTTTTATTGCTTGTATTGTTGTGTTTGGGCTCGGCCTCATGTAAGCCGCACCGAGTCCCTTGGGGAGATGGTAGCGGGGTACAAATAAAGTTAATAATAAAAAAATATAATCAATAAAGTGTATCATTATTACATAGGAAGAATTGTATGGCATGATCTGCTACAGCGCAGACAATCCAGATATTTGGGTTACAGTTCCCAGTCAATGTTAGGCGCTAGATCAGACAACTAGATGGCCTTTGCGCCACATTTAGCTTGTTGGGTATGGGAACTGTAGTCCAAAACTCCTGGTGGGTACTGGGGGTGTATCTACACTGTAGAATTAATACAGTTTGATGCTACCTAGTTCGGTGCTATGTTTACAATATCTTCGGCCTCTCTGCCAAAAAGTGCTAGTGGAGCATATGACCAACCTTCAACTACCATCATTGAGACATGGCTGTTAACCTTCAACCTTCAACTTCCGTATCATTGAGACATGGCTGTTAAAGTGATATCAAGCTGTGTTAATTTTACAGTGAAGATGCGCTGTGAGCGGTTTCCTTGTGTTCTAGGTTATCTTGTATTAACTAGGATGTTAATGCAAAAAAATATTGTTTTCAGTTTTGACAACATTATTTGCTGCTTATTTATCCTTTCCCATCCTTGGAACCAAACAATTCACCCAGTAGAATGTGGCTTTATAGTTTTAGCAATTTATGTTCAATTCAGAATCATTGTACTTTATTTGAGTTGGGGGAGTACGTATAGTTTTTGTGATTGCTTGGCTTAGCCCAAGCATGGGCAAACTTTGGCCCTCTGGGTGTTTTGGACTTCAACTCCCACAATTCCTAACAGCCTACTGGCTGTTGGGAATTGTGGGAGTTGAAGTCCAAAACACCCAGAGGGCCAAAGTTTGCTCATGCCTCATTTAACCAGTAGTTCTGAGCGCCTGGAGGATGTTGGAGACTAAACCTTAACTTCCTCTTCTCTGTGTTCATTCAGCAAGAGGAAGGCTGGAGGAGGATGATCTGGGAGAAGAATCTGAAGATGATTCAGTTGCACAACCTGGACCACAGCCTGGGCAAGCATAGCTACAGACTGGGGATGAATCACTTTGGGGACATGGTGCGTATCAACAGCAGACTTGCCCGGCTGCTTCTCTGAGTAATTGCCCAGATACTATGCTGATGTATTTCCTCTTCTCTTCCAGACAAATGAAGAGTTCAGGCAAGTGATGAATGGCTTTAAACACTCCAAAACAGAAAAAAAATACAGAGGATCCGAGTTTCTGGAACCCAATTATTTGTCGGTTCCCAAGTCTATTGACTGGAGGGAAAAGGGCTACGTTACTCCCGTAAAAGATCAGGTATGCACCTAGGTTCCTTTATTTGGCTTAGTTGTGTGCAAGCTTGGACGGATATTTAAGTAATAGGTTAAATGCAAAATTCAGCCCTGCCTCTCCAGTGCTTGATTCATATAGCACCGATAGAATCTGATAATCTGTCATCATGTAATTCTCTAACTGGGATTTCATCAGCCTCATTTACTTTTATTTTACCTTATTAATAGAAGAGAGTTCAAATACTGGGTTGCTGTGAGTTTTCTGGGCTGTATGGCCATGTTCCAGAAGCATTCTCCCCTGACGTTTCACCTATAACCATGGTAGGCATCCTCAGAGCTTGTGAGGATGCCTGCCATAGATGTGGGTGAACCGTCAGGAGAGAATGCTTTGGGAACATGGCCATTCAGCCTGGAAAACTCACAGCAACCCAGTGAGTTTGAAATCTTTCCACAAACTGTTTCTTCATTGGACTACAAATTCCAGAATGGCCAGTGGTGAGGGGGTTCTGAAATTGTATTTCAAAGGTTGTTTTTCCTGAGCTCCGAGCATTTGTAATTTTCCTCCTTCGGCTGTTCAGTTGATGATGAACAATTGTCTTTCCTTCCTCTGTGATCTTGTTCATGCCAGGAAATGGAGGTTGGGCAGAGTGCTGCGAATGCTAAACTTTCAAGTTAACTTGCTAGCCTTGCATATTTGTGGTGTTGTTGAAACCAATGGCTGTCTCTGCCTAAAGAGTTTAGAATCAGAATTAAAACAATCATATCTAGAATCAGGGAAGAGAACGTGGCCGTAGAGAGAACAAGACATGTTTTAGATTACAACTTCCATAACCCTTTATGAAACGATTTTTATTGATCAACCAATTGGCCTTATCAAAACACACAATATAAACACAATGTACAATATATATCTAATCCAAGTAAAAATATAAATATATGAGTACAGAGGGGGAAATGGGGATGGCCGACTTGTAACCAAATATATGTTAATCATAAGTATATACATCAAATGTTCTCATCCCCCTTACACCAAATACCTATGTGATTAATATACTCTAATCTCCTTTTAGATGCTTTATACAGATAAAGGGCAACATTTGTTGTCAAAACAGGGTTATAACCAGCTAGTAAAAATGTGCTTTTGGTCGCTGTATCCCAGGGCCCTTTCACACAGTCCTGTATCTCAGAACATCAAGGCAGAAAATCCCACATTATCTGAGTGTGGACTCAGAAAACCCAGTTCAAAGCAGATACTGTGGGATTTTCTGCCTTGATATCCTGAGATACAGGGCTGTGTGGAAGGGCCCCCAGCTCCTTTTATTACAAACTGGTAAAGGTTTTTGCCTGACATTAAGTCCAGTTGTGTCCAAATCTGGGGATTGGTGCTCATCTCTTTCTAAGCCAAAGAGTCAGCGTTGTCTGTAGACCCCTCCAAGATCACGTGGTCGGCATAACTGCATGGAGCACCGTTAACCTTCCTGCCGGAGTGGTACCTATTGATTTACTCACATTTGCATGTGAGGCTCCTGCTGTTAGCTGGGGCTAACAGCAGGAGCTCACCCCACTCCCCGGATTCGAACCAGTGACCTTTTTTTTACAAATAAAAGGCCATAAATGTTGTTTCCTTTCTTTTTCGTACAAGCAGCAGTTATGTAATATTTGATTCGGCTTAGGGGCTCCACAGATAGTCTCTTGTCAGGTGAGATGTGATTGAATCTACTGTCTCTCTCCATCGACTCCATTTGTTCAAATCTGGCCCTTGTAAAAGAGATGGTTAAGTGGCTCGGCATATCAACTTTCAAGAAAAGTGCCTGAGGAAAATGTTGTTGAAAAAGGCCAAACCACTTCAAGGAGCCTGTGTTTGACAAAGTGGCTCTATCTTTCTGCGCTTCGATATCTAAAATCCATTGAGTTACTATCCTTTTCTCAATGTCCCTATTATGACCTAAGGAAGATATTTCTAATCCACATGTGCAGAGGAACCTTATTAATTGATCTCACCAGGAAGCTTGTATTTGGCCATTAATTTCATCTGTCTTAGGAATTTTTATGGCATTTGCCTAAAGAGTTTACAGTCAGAATTAAAACAATCATATCTAGAATCATAGAAGAGAACGTGGCCATACAGAGAACAAGACATATTTTAGATTACAACTCCCATAACCCTTTACCATTTGCCAAGCTGGATGGGGTCAATGGCAGTTGCAATGCAAGATAGTAAGCCAAAGTGTCCTTCCTGAAGCAGTGGAGAACCTACTGTTAGTCTGGCAAAATTAGGTGAAATAAGAAGCTATTTTATGGGAATGCAAACTGAGGTGGAAAAGCAAAATTGGGCTTTATGCTGTGCTGATTGGAGGACTATGTAGCCTAATTTTCCCCTGTTTTGGATGAGCAAGTGGGGCAGAACATAACAGGGCCTTCTCCTATTGCTGAACTTGGGTATAAACAAATGTGTTTCTCCATTTGTCCTTAGGGTCAGTGTGGCTCTTGCTGGGCATTCAGTACAACTGGATCCCTTGAAGGGCAACACTTCCGCAAAACCGGCAAGCTGGTCTCCTTGAGTGAACAAAACCTTGTGGATTGCTCTCGGCCTGAAGGAAACCAGGGCTGCAATGGGGGTCTTATGGACCAGGCTTTCCAGTATATAGAGGACAATGGTGGCATTGATTCTGAGGACTCCTACCCATACATTGCCAAGGTAGGGTGTTTTCCTCTTCAGCCAGTGATTTATTTATAAGATCTCACAAATCAACCAAGGCATTCAGAAAGCCAAATAAGGAATAAATAAGCAGGAGATCTCTAAACTTCTCTATGATTGTCATTGGGCGTGTGAGATCCTTGGCTGCCAGCATACTCATTCCAGCAGATTAAAATGGTGAACTCCCTTTCTTTTTCCTGGGTGGCTGGAATGCATTTGAAAAGCTTGCAGAATTATAATGCTTTCTTTCAGATCACATTTGCTCAGTAATTTTAGTCTCTGCTGCATAATAGTTTATGTATATTTGGTTTTTTTAAAAAAAAACTGGAACACCAGCTAACTCCTGCATGTTGAAGTTTCAAGTCACAGCCAATGTGTTTGCCTTTTAAGGATGACGAAGATTGCCTCTACAAGTCTGAATTCAATGCTGCTAACGACACTGGGTTTGTGGATGTCCCACAAGGACACGAGCGGGCCCTGATGAAGGCCGTGGCTGCAGTGGGACCGGTTTCTGTCGCTATTGATGCAAGTCACTCCACTTTCCAGTTCTATGAATCAGGTGAGATGCTGTTCACAAATGTGAAAAAAAAACCTTGTTATATATTTTGCCGAAGAGGGAAACTGTGCTCTCTAGGCTTGTGTTCCATTTTCCTATCATTTCCAAAGGCTAGCTAATCATGGTGAAATACTAGATTCCACCATATTTGGAGGACACGGTTGAGGAAAGTTAATATAGGATGTATTGTGCAGTTTGTCAAAGGAAGCTAATGAACAGAACTGGATATGATCTTGTTGGAAATAGTATAAGTACTTCAGCTCACTATGAAGCTTGCTTTTGTCTTATAAACATGAGTAGCAGTTCATGAGTACATGGTGTAATGCGTCTTGTGCATGAACAGTGATATTTAAAACTGCCTCCTACAATTTGGAAGTTTGCCTAGATTTTTCCTCCATTTTCCAAACACCTTGACTCCCTTAATAATTGGTAAATTTTGAAACAGAAACAACATTTTGGGTAACACCATCATTTTTATCACTGCTATTCTCACCTTGAAGTCAAGGTGAAGTTGGGATCTGGTCAAATTCATTTGGAAAGGCAAAAAAGCCGGGATTGCCTACAGGAACCTTATTGATGGGAAAGACAGAAGGGGCCTGGCATTGCCTCATCTCAGATACTACTGCGAAGCCACAAATTTTAGCTGACTAAAGGAGTGGATTAAACTGGACAGTGGCGCAATAAGTACCTTTGTGGCGGTAGGATTACTGACCGACAGGTCAGTGGTTCAAATCTGGGGAGAGTGGGTTGAGTTCCCTCTTTCAGCTCCAGCTCCATTCGGGGACATGAGAGAAACCTCCCACAAGGATGGTAAAAAAAAATCAAACATCCAGGCGTCCACTGGGCAACGTCCTTGCAGGCGACCAATTCTCTCACACTAGAAGCGATTTGCAGTTTCTCAAGTCACTCCTGACATTTAAAAAGGAGGGGAAAGGAGTTGCTTAATTTAGAGGGCCATAATTTGATAAACGGATGGCATGCCTATCTATGGGATGAAAAGGATAGGGTGAATAAAGAATATAATGGACTTATAGTAAGAGCCAGCCTTTTAGCAATGTGGAAAAGGTACAAGAAGGGGATAGAGCCAAAAAAAAACCCCACTGGAAGCAGTCCATAGACTGGCTACACAAACTGAATTTGGCACGTACAAGGATTATTTGTTCAAAGAGAAAGTGCAATGAACGCTTAAAGGTAGAGAAGAATCTGGGTTAAAAGACTGGTTCAGCTTCTTCATACTACATGACAGATTTAGGAAGGACGCGAAGGTAGGATTTGCCTCTAAAAAATTGGAGTTAGAATGTATCCTTGAGAAGTGCTACCAAGGCCTAATCTCCAAGCTCTATCAATATATTTTAGAATACAATTTAGTAGACAAATTGATAAAAACTGTTACGATAACGTGGGCCAAAGATTTAGGCAGAAATATTGATTTGGAAGATTGGGAACATCTTTGGAAAAGGGGGTTTAAATTGTCAGTGGCCCGCTCAATTAGAAAAAATCTGTTTTATAGAACTTACATAACTCCAGAGTTATTGTCCAAAAGAGAGAAAACAGGAAATCTAAGAAGGTGAAGAGATCTTTTTGCCATATATGGTGGACTTGTAATATAGTTTGGGAATTCTGGAAAAGAGTGGTGAAAGAAAAAAACAATGTAATTAACAAAAAGGTCAAGAAAAACCCAGAAATGTGCTTATTAGGACTGTTTAGAACAGTGGTTCTCAACCTGTGGGTCCCCAGATGTTTTGGACTTCAACTCCCAGAAATCCTAACAGCTGGTAAACTGGCTGGGATTTCTGGGAGTTGTAGGCAAAAACACCTGGGAACCTACAGGTTGTGAACCTCACTGATTTAGAAGGTGTATTAGCAGAGGAGATGAAGAAATTTGTCAATATTGCTTTGTTACTATGAGACTAATAATAGCCAAAAAATAGAAGGAGAAAAAGAGTTAACTATTAAAGATTGGAGAGATACATTTGTAGATTATATCCAAATGGCCAAGCTAACAAAGAGCAGCAGAGGAGGAAATAATGAAGAATTTGCCAAAAAAAAAAAAGGAGGCTGACACTTGGGTATCTGGAAAAGAAGACAAAGATAGATTTGAAGATCGCCATAAAGGGGATTTAGTGAAAGAAGACATATGTGTAGTTACTGGTTAGTTATGTGATCCATATTGAGGAATGTCGGAGGGTCATGGGGGTTGGGTTCATGGGTGTGGGATTAGAGGGATAAGAAATGTTAAGGCATAATAACTGTAAAGCTAAATTTGATTTTTCACCTGTTAACAAGTGCTGACTATATGCCAGTTTTGTAAATGTGCTTGCTCTTTTATATATCTTTATTTGGGAGGGTTGTTTTTTTTTTTTTTGTCTGCTTTGTTTCTTGTGTACACTATAAAACAATAAAATATTAACAATACAATTTGGAAGTTTGCTTAAAAGTTTAGACTTTATCTGGAATGTAATTGTCCTCTTCTACTTCTAGGAATTTACTTTGACCCAGATTGCAGCAGCGAAGAATTGGACCACGGTGTTCTTGTTGTTGGTTACGGCTTTGAGGGAACAGATGACGATAACAACAAGAAGAAGTACTGGATTGTCAAAAACAGGTATGTGTGAGGAGGCCTTTTGTGTTGTGAAACTCTACCCAGTGGGTTTTATTGCATGTACGCTGAAACTTGCAAATCGTGGCATTTTGTCCTTCAATGGGCAGTTTCTATAAGACATTTCTGTAAGCCACTTGGCTGTTTCACACAGCCGTCCAAATTTTTATGGTTCTGAGACTGCATTAAATATTTTATATCCAACTTTTTGCCAAGATAGGCTGCCTTGTAACTCTAAATATATACAGAGGTATAATTGAGGAGAGGCATTTGAGTGATAACCAGAGGCCAGAAGGAACTGCAGATAGACTGTACTGCTGGCTGATGATAAAGGCTTCAGTCTTTTTGTGCTGAACAGACAGTAATATGGTCTCCTGCCTCACAATGTAATAAACACAATATAAAATAATAGGGTGGGAGGAGAGGTGAACATTGTACAGTAAGAGGGGTCCCAAAGTACAGGTTTGATGTATTAAACTATTTGTTTGCCCTAGGGGAGACTCTTCATTGCTATATTGTTTTCTCTTTCAGTTGGAGCGAGAAGTGGGGAGACAAAGGTTATATCCTCATGGCTAAAGACAGGGACAACCACTGCGGTATAGCTACAGCTGCCAGTTATCCTCTAGTATAACTCCTTTAAGGAAATATATTGCTGGTATTGCCATCTTCAGCTTGAGAAGATGAACACTGGAATAAGCTCTCCAGATCGTTGGGTCTCTCTAGACACTTTCTGAGGCCACCAAAGTATTGCAGCACCAGAAAGGACTTTAAACTGACATGCACCTGTTTCTTCCAAGATTTCGAGTTGTGGTTTTTTTATTTACCTTGAGCCTCTGTGATGTTTACTTGATGGCGGTATGTGCCCTCTTTTTTAAACTTGATGTAAATGTTGCTTATGTACACAAGCTTGTAATATTGATAGCTAGCATTCTGGCTAAATCATAGTTTCTTTTTTAAAAAATGTTGATTTTTTTAAAACAATGGCTTGCAGAAGAGTTACAGCTTTTCAAATAAACACTGAACATTTCAACTTAGCCAGATGAGTTGTGCCTCTTTTGTGTGACAGACTTGTCTTCTGTTATCTAATCTTTTTGTTTCAATGTACATTTTGTTCCTAAGGTGCCGAGAATAGTTCTCAGCAAGTGGAAAGTCTAGACTGGCATTTCCAAAAGAGGGTTCCTCTGCTTTTAATGTACAAAACAGTCATTTCAGAGAGTAGAGCTACTTTGTTATGTGCTTTTAAGTTGTGTCTGGCTTAGATTTGCCTTCGAGTGCAGTTTTCTTTGGCAAGGTTTGTTTACAGGGGCTTTGCCTTTGCTTTTCTCAGAGGCCTAGAAAATGTGATTTATTGAATGATGATTTGGTATCTGCACTGATCATTTTAATGCAGTTAGAACAGTGGTTCCCAACTGGTGGTCTGTAAGAACTAAAATTTGATCTGTGGCCTCACCGTTACTACACGATTGCAACAAGAGTGACTGGTCTCAAGAAACCCTCTTATAGTGCTGAGGCTTATTAAATATGGTTTCCTGTGGGCAAGCAGATGATGACTACTGGATGACATATAGTCTGTATCAGAAAACAGAGCTGATGTGGTCTGTCCAATGCAATTTTCTGAATTAGCACAAAATCTAATCAAACAAAATCTAAAATTGACCAAAAACTGGTTTGTAACCCTTTTGATATTAATGTTGGAGAGTGTGGTTTGGTCAAGTGGTCCCTGGTCAAACCACTGAGTTAGAAGATAGCTCTAAACTGTGACATCCAGACAACAAACTTCCACAAAAGTCTGCGAAAGAATGTTCTTAATTAGCACCAGTACTTTGTAGTTTATGTAATCACCACCTCAATCTGGTTCCAGGATTTCCTATGCACAGCAAAACCACTTTGTTCAATGCTGGTTTGAAACTGCATTAAATGATCAGTGTAAATAGTGCCATGGTCCAGTGCTCTGACCACCAAACCATGCTGCCTCTCAAGCAAATCTGTATCTACTGAAAATTTGTGTATCTATAAAAGCTTGAGAATCCTGACCTTGTTCCTTCACCGCCAGATGCCTTCAATGGCAAGGACACTCTTTGACTGTCACTTTTAACTGTTTTGAAAATTATTTCTGAAACAATGTGGGATAAAATGGAGTTGGAAATCCCTGTCCCTGCTTAAAGTCTCTTTTTGGATGTTTTGAATATTTCATGCTCAGCAGACTACTTGGAGGCAGAAGTGTAATTAATGTCCAGGTCATTGGTCACTTTCAATGGGAAAGGGGTCTTGGGCTTTTTCAGTGTCAGAACTGTTTGTTTGAACAATGAAATATATGAGATGCTAACCCACTTGCGCTTCCGAGACCCATCTTTGCAGCTTAAGCTGGGGTTTGCACATGCTGGCACAAGTACCAGGGGCACACAGATGTTTCAAATTCCTGAACGCAGCCACTGCCTGCTTTGTGCCTCCTGACCTTATGCTGTGAACAGTGCTGTGTAAGCAGCCCATATCTCATGATGTACTGGCCAACTGAAAATCATGTGGCTTCACATTTCCCATCCCAGCTGTAGAATAAGGACTCCCAACAAACTGCACAAAGATCAAAATCCCTCCAACTAACCTTTAGGTGATGCATTCCCAACAGTTCTACCATTCCTATTTCATTGAAGACCAAGGGAATCAGCAGAGATCTATCCACCTATTTTCCTCATAGCAAGATAGGTTGCAAATATATCATCTAGAAGGAACAATGGAAACATGTCCAAGTCCTTGTGAATGCCTCTTGCAGCACATTCAGCTACAGGAGAATAACTGGACAAGTTTCCATTGTTCAATCAATTTGGGGTGACAGTTCCTAACATTTACAGAACTTCTAAAAGAGAAGATACAGAAAAAGAAGATTGAAGCCTCCCAGGCAAGGGAATAGGCATATTGTATTGTATCTTTTATGGAACCGCTTGTAATAAAAACTCACTTTAAATCTTAAGTATGCAAACTTTTCTTAGAATCAGATCTTTTAGTCTTTATGTCTTTGTTGTTCATTCATTCAGTCGTTTCCGACTCTTCGTGACTTCATGGACCAGCCTTACACCATATATAATATCCAATAAATATTTACCATTGACCTTGAAAAAAAACATGATAAATGGCTGCAATCCAACATTCCTCAGATAAACTTTGACTTTAAGCCAGAAATTTTGCAGTATTTCAGTACTCAAATAATCTTTGAAAAGATAATGTATTTTCTTCAGAAATTATGAAGGCAATTTAACAGCTTTTTAAAAAAAGTTACTCAGAATTTGTTGGAGCATGCAAGGAATTAGTGTGTGTGTGTCAACTGTAAAATAATATGCATGAAGCTGATTAGTCGGGCAATGTCTGGGGAGATGGCTGAGCCTGGGACTTTTGGATACTGTTACATTTTTGTTCAGACTTGAGCTATGCCGGTGCAGAGAGAGATAGTTTGGAGAGAGAAGCAGAAAGAGACCGTTTCCTTTTTATTTCTTGGCTGCTGAAAAAAGATCTCTCACATGGACACAGAAATGACCATTTTAAATCTCTCATAAAAGGACATTATGTGAGTTGATACAACTGACCACACTGTACATATGTTGTTCTGAACTATGAAGAGTAAACTACTTGTTCTTTATTGTTAATCTGTGTGGCATATTTTCTTTCTCTGGCAAGGCAATGTGTGGGCTGATCAAATGTGAACTACATGTGATTTATTTTACATTTTGCCACATAATTGATTGTGGATTTTTATCTTTGTGCATTTTTAACACACTCAGCATCTGCCTGAAGCCTATTTGTTTCTTAACCAAAGTAGAGCAAAGTTGACCTACTGGTTGAGCCTTCCTGTACTTGGGACTAAGCAACAACATTCTAGCCATCTATTTATTTTTAATAATTATTTCTGAGCACCTCCAAATTGGTAATTATGTATCATTGAACATCAATTAAAATGAACTATTCTCTTCAAATGCAGTCTTAGCAATACTTAAAGTAGATCTATTGCATTAATAATAATACACATTAAGAATACAAACCTTCTTAAAAGCTCTCCAACATTTCCACTTGTTTTTGTTTTGACAGCCAGCCCAGAATGCGAATATTTAAATATAGCCAAACATGCTTTCCACACCCTGCCCTGACCCAGTGATAAATAGGTTGATCATTGCATGATCTGTTGCAACAAAGCAGTTCCATCCTGCCTCTTGACTCAGAAGTCAGTCATGCTGCACTGAGCAGGGATTTGTTCTTAAATATATGTGCTTAGATTGCAGAACTGTTGTGTAAGACTTTTCGTTGTTGTTTTTCTTCTGGGAAACATCCTGTTTTCAGTTATTCTCACATTTCATTTTCAATTAAACCATTAAAAACGAAACACAGTGTCTGATACAAACATTGATTACAGGAAAGCAACAGATTTCACCTTAACTTTGGAAGAATACTTGATCAACTAGATTTGAACAGGAAATGGAACCTCCTACATTAGGTTAGCATATGTAGTAATTGGTAGGTGTGTGTCAGAGAGAGAAAAACACACAGGGAAAGTATGTGGATAAATGTTGTTGCTGTTTCTTATTTTATTTATTTACTTGTATTTTCATGCAATAAACAAGCATTCTAAATTTCATACTGAATCAATGGGGTATAAAAATCAGCTTTAGCTAAGGGCAAAGCACAATTTCCTTTTAAAAATCATTATCAAATGCAATGACTGAGCAATTGAGAAGGCATTTCTTTGGCAACTATTTCCTTCCACAGGCAAATAGTACAGCAGGGACAATCAGCTTGGTTACATGACCCAGAAAAGAGCTGAACGGTTTGTACATACAATATTGTTAGCTCTTGTTGAATCACAGTCAAGAGCAAATCCAAGATCACTGCCAAGAGAGATTTCATTGCCCTTGCGATGTTGTGGCATTGTAAATCCCATTGTTCTAGCCAGGATAAGTCAGATTGAGGGAGGCTAGAACCTGCCACTCTCAACAATATCTAAAGGGCCACACAGTGCCAACCTCTGCCTTAAAATAACAACAAAACACTTCTGTGCAGATGTGTCAGCAACAATGTGAGGTCAGGGGTGGGATTCTCTTCATCCCCTCTCTCTTTCCACCTCACTTTCTTTTACATTTATATTTGTTTTTCTAAAATGTTAGAATTGTGCAATTGTGCTATTTTAAAGAATTAAAGAACAGCAATAATCTGTGTAAGCTGTCTGAAGGTTAAAAAAAAACTTCTTGGAGATGAAACTTTAGGTGTACATAAACTAGCAAATGCAATGCAAGAGGAACAGTCATAATCCACACAAAACTAGATTTTTCTGTTAGTTTAACAAAAGATGAGAGTCAAGATGAAGTGAGAGCCCAGGATAATGACATTCTTGTTTTGATCAATTGCCCTCAGCATGTAATATGGGGCAGACAAACATATTACCTCACAGATCACAAGGTTGGTTGGCTTTGTATGGTTTAATGATCAACAAACACCGGGAACAGACAATTCAGCTGAAATGATGTTAGAAGTAGGCATGAACTTTGGCATTCAAATGTTTTCTCAGAGAAAAGAACATAGCTGACAAATGTCCACTCTCTCCACTAATTGCCACTAAATATGCTTTGGTTTTATTCATATATAAAAGAAACGGAAACATTTGAGAAAGTTTTTTCCCTACAGGTGTCAACAGGGTGGATGTTATTGACCAGAATCCTGTTGGTATACTATGGCGACATACCTATGCTGGAGTAGCCAGTGGCAGCAAGAGGAATAGGGCCATAGACACTGTGGCGACAAAGCAAGGAAAGCAATGGAGCCGGCAAGGAAATTAAGATCTTCTGGGGAGGCCCTGCTCTTAATCCTGCACCCTTCACAGGAGCTGTTAGTGGGGACGAGAGATAGGGCCTTCACTGTGGTGGCTCCTCGGCTATGGAACTCCCTCCCGAGTGAAATTAGATCAGCTTTCTCCCTCCTGACCTTTAGGAAAAGGCTAAAAACATGGATATTTGACCAAGCATTCAACGAGTAATCTATCAGTGCAATTTTTTTGTCATGTCAAGAGCAACTTGAGAAACTGCAAGTTGCTTCTGTTGTGAGATAATTGGCCATCTGCAAGGATGTTGCCCAGGGGACGCCCGGATGTTTTGATGTTTTATCATCCCTGTGGGAGGCTTCTCTCATGTCCCCGCATTATGAGGTGGAGTGGATAGAGGGAGCTCATCCGCTCTCTCCCCGGATTCGAACCTGCAACCTCTTGGTCTTCAGTCCTGCGGGCACAGGGGTTTAACCCACTGTGCCACTTATATGAAAATGACAGTAAGTGCAATAAGAAAAGAGGAAATCGTGCAATGACAAATTGGAACAGCTGCGGGCTACAATATTGGATTGCATGATTTTAAATAGTTGGTTTTAAGGTTTTATATGTTTTAATAATTGTTTTAATGCTTATGTTTTTATTGTGTGTGTTTTTGGCATCTAATTGTTGTCTAATGTAAGCCACCTTGAGTCCCCTACGGGGTTGAGAAGGGCAGGGTTTAAATAGAGTAAATAAATAAACCGAAAATTTAGGTTGCTCAGGGTTGAAAGACATCAGAGTTATATGGACTATCATGCGAAATCACTAGTCCACTACTGTTGTATTATTGCTGATAGTGGATACACAGGCCCCTTTTACATTATCAAAGCAGATAATCCATATTATCTACTTTGAAATGGATTATATGACTCTTGCTGGGACTAAGCCCCCTCTATGGGCTCTTCCACACAGCCCTATATCCCAGAATTTCAAAGCAGGAAATCCCACATGCACATTTACACTCATGCAGTGGGGACTCAGATAACCCAGTTCAAAGCAAATATTGTGGGATTTTCTGCATTCTGGGATATAGGGCTGTGGGGAAGGGCCCTAAATTGCCATATAAAATCCAGATTATTTGCTTTGAACTGAGGGCCCTTCCACACAGCCATATAACCTAGAATGATGTTGTTGTTTATTTGTTCAGTCGCTTCCAACTCTTCATAACCTCATGGACCATCCCACGCTAGAGCTCCCTGTTGGCCGTCACCACCCCCAGCTCCTTCAAAGTCAAGCCCAGTCACTTCAAGGATACCATCCATCCATTTTGCCCTTGGTTTACTGCTCTTTCTTTTTCCTTCCATTTTCCCCAGCATCATTGTCTTCTCCAAGCATTCCTGTCTTTTCATGATGTGACCAAAGAATTTCATCTTTTCCTCTAATATCCTTCCCTCCAATGAGCAGTCGAGCTTTATTTCCTGAAGTATGGACTGGTTTGATCTTCTTGTGATCCAAGGTACCCTCAGAATTTTTCTCCAGCACCACAGTTCA